AATCTAATTTTTCTTTCCATTTCATCGATGACACTTCATTAAGATTATCACGTAAAGATCCTTTTTCTGCATATTTCAACACAAGAACATAATTTTTCGAATCGTCCCTTGATAATCCATAGCATTTTAAGAACGATGGATTTTTATAGCTGATCTCACAAAACGCTTTCAACTAAAAATATACATACATATATATATATAGATATTAGTCATAAATTTCATATTAAATAATATTTTAATGGTATTACCTCGTCAAAAAAATCTTGCTCGTGGATTTTTTTAAATGCGAATGAATATCTTTCATAAACAGTCCGATATTCAATCAGACATTTTGCATAGTAAACAGTTGCAAATCCTCCCTTCCAAATCTCTTTAATATCTTCAAATTTATTGTACGGAATCCATAATAATTGATACCTCTCATCATCCAATATTTTTTTAACGTTGTCATGGATATCAAAATAAGCAAATTTTTTTATTTCTATTTATTATTATTAAAATCGATAAATATGAAAACTGACGAAAATAAATCAAATAAAAAAAAATACCTTGAAATTTATTTCTCTCCCTATATTTATATAATTATTATTAAATATATATACATATACAATATATTTATGTATTTATTTTTTAAAAAAATACATACATTCGAAACCAATAATCAGCTTCTTTTAAATCCTTTTTGGTTCCAATACCATTTCGATAGCAATATCCAACATTTATTATTCCAATAATATGTTTCAATTTAGCAGTTTTTAGATATAATTCAAAAGCTTTCTTTAGATCTTTTTCAGTTCCAATCCCATTTTTATAACAATATCCAAGGTTACAGATTGAAGTAATATTCCCCATTCTTGCAGCTTTCTGATAATAAAAAAATGCCTTATTTTCATCTTTTTTAACTCCTTCTCCTAATCGATAACGCTCTCCAACACTAGTAATTCCGTTACCATCATCCATCTTTGCAGATTTTTTATAATAAATGAATGCCTCATGTTTATCCTTTTCAACTCCAATTCCATTGAGATAGCAGTTGCCAAGTGCAAATATTCCATTAACATTTCCCATCTCTGCAGATTTTTGATAATAAATGAATGCCTTATGTTCATCCTTTTCAACTCCAATTCCATTGAGATAGCAGTTGCCAAGTGCAAAAATTCCAGTAACATTTCCCATCACTGCAGATTTTTGATAATAAATGAATGCCTTATGTTTATCCTTTTTAACTCTAATCCCATTTCGATAACAATATCCAACATTATATGTTCCACCAGCATCACCCATCTCTGCAGATTTTTGATAATAAATGAATGCATTATGTTCATCCTTTTCAACTCCAATTCCATTTCGATAACAATATCCAACATTATTTGTCCCAGCAGCGTCTCCCATTTCTGCAGCTTTTTGATTGTAGTAAAAATACATGTAATCATCTTTTTTAACTCCTCTACCGTAATAATAACATTGCCCAACTTGAAATATTCCATTAACGTGATTCAGATTAGCAGCTTTCTGATAATATTCAAAAGCTTTTTGTTCATCCTTCTTGACATCATTGCGATGCTCATACTTCTTACCATTGTAATAGAGTTCTTCACCTTTCAAATTCATTTTCTCTATTAACAAAAATCATTTACATATATTACACATTCATAAATTTACAAAAATTATATTTATTAGATCATTGTAACCTAAATAAAATCGTAACTGTAACGTTCCATTGCATGAAAATTATGCTTTATACAACTTTTATTTTGAAAATTGAAATTATGCGATAATTTGGTTAGGATTGTGTTGCAATTATGTGAATTAGTTTATGCACAAAAATTTTGCGACCACTAATCAAAAATTACAACTGATTTTTTTCTCCCAAAATATGTTCCGTAACTCTCCGTCTGACCTGCTCGTAATTTATTTTAATTCTCTATCTACTTTTCCGAATCCTCCTGATAGCAATATGACTTTAATGTCATCAGGCATCTTCCAGTAAAAATATCAAATGATGTTTATTTCAACGTTAAAATTCTGCAAATTCTGTTTTAATTTATGAAATTCTTTAAAATATGCGAATTATACAATTGCATATGCAATTTATGTTTATGCGCATATTATATATGCACCAGCCCTAATACGTATGAATATCAGAATTGTGAACTATGAAGAATATTGCAAATAAAAACAAATATAAAAAGTTACAAGTGAGAAATAAAAATAAATGAGTAAATTATTGATAATTATATGAATAGGAGAACATAAGTGAAAAATGAAATATAGAATATTGCAAATCATAAAAAATCCGAAATTGAATTTTAAAGGCCAAACCTTATTTTAGAAATATAATATAATAAGGAGAATGCCAGAAGACTTCTAGTTAATGTTATAGCAAAACTATTAAACTTTAAATAAATAAAAAATTAAAAATTTACATTAGTATTTCGATTAGTGTTTTGACCTCATAGGAAGACATTCATACGATTGGTTAATTTTTGTTGATCTACCCGTGATTACCCGTGATAATTAACCAATCAAATCACATAATTTTTAAACAGTAATACTATTGCATAGAAAACGAAAAAAAACTTCATATAAAGAAGCTCACAAACTAATAAATACACACAGAAGTATTTATTACACATAATTACAGATACGCGTAAAGTGTGAAAACCGCGATTTTTATTACCAATAAACCCAAGATCGTTAACGATCTACACCAACACGCTACAAGAACCAACCTAACTTAAATATTAAAACCGGATCTTTTGTTACTAAAGACTTGACCTGTTTAAATTAAATAGTTGCAATAAATTTTTACCTTAAATCTAACATTGTAAAGTAGATTTAGACGAAAACATTTGCAGTTACCTTCACTTTACAGTATATTTTCAATAAACAGTCATATATTTTGTCTTCTAAGAAAGTCAGTGAGGGAGTATTATTCTTTTTTGATTCTTTTGAAGATTGAATACTGTCACGGGCAAAGAAGGATTGTCAAATTAGGCGTAGTAATCTCATGACTAAACCGGATATAATAGTGGAATTCTGGATCAACAGTTATATGAGGCTTACCTGCCAAAGAATAGAAAGGATAACCTACGTGAAATCCGAAGAAGAATTCTGAAAAGAACAAACAAAGATCAAGCAAGCAGATCTTGAAGATAAACAAAGAGAAGACGTTGATGGGAGGAATTATTATTATAATTATTATAAGCCCCTTAATGTATAATAGCTTCGCCCTGATTCTTTAATGATGTATTATTAAAATTATCTTTAAGCCTCTTGAGTTTGTTAGGATAAAATAATCTATAAAAGAGTTGAGAATTCGCGTTAGTAAAAGGACATCCTGAGGGATTCCAAGAATTCATTCATAATACCTTTAATACAATATCCGGATAATTCCTTTTAATAAACAAATTATTGTCAAATCACCAAAGTCACGCCTCTGGCGAGTTGCCTTATTCCCAAAATTATATCTTTTTGTACATAAATAAATAAAACTCTACAATTCACCGCTTAACAATGTGAATCTAAGATGGGTTTACTTGAACTCAACCTGAATTCAAATGAATTCAGCCCAGTTATAAGTGAACCTAACCCGGGTTTAAATAATTCACTTGAATTTAATAAAAATTTAAAACTTTAAAACTAAAAAAAGGGAGAACAGACCCCGGAGCATCGCCCGGGTTTGAGAGCTAGTTTGTTTTAATTGGCTGATCATCAGTAACCCTGATTGGCTAAATTAAATATCGATTTGCATATCGATATCCAATATTAACGCTACGTAGCATTACACTCGTTACACTCGCAACTCTATATAGTATTTGATAATCTTTTACGATATCTCGCGTGAAGTTCAAAATTTTAACTTCAAAAAACACGCCATTTTATCTTAATTATTTCGTTTTAAACTCTAAAAACTTAATATAGTAACTTCATATTGAATATTACTATTGTCAAAATCGTCTCTAATTGAAGTTGGTGGAAATATTCGATCTCATTCGATCTCAAACGCTTATATGAAAAATACGTTCCCAAATGATAATGCAAAATTTCGGATTGGTTTAACTATTAAAATTTTTTTTCGCTATTAACGGGTCTATTTTTTTATTGTAAACAATATAAAAAATTCGTGTAACGTAGTAATATAGATTCTTATATGAATAGTACTCTTGCGTCATAGCGCAAAAAACGCATAACGAAAATGTGTAAGGGGAATCCCATTTATTACGTTAATTTTATTATTGGTTACTGATTTTATAACCTAGGAGTGGGGTGTAGACTAATAAAAAGAAATTACGTAATAAACGGCACACACCTAAAAAGTTTTAAAAGAAGTTATTTTGTTTATTTTCGAAAGATACAATTTTATTTGTATTGATTAATTAATGATTAATACAGTGATTAACTGATCGTGTACGTATTCTAAATTTTTATGATTTTTTTGGTTTGTGTAACCATGATAAACTCTTAGAACCTATTGTACACATTTGTAATAATTCTTTGGTGTGCAATTTTTTCAGTTAAAATTGATATCGTAAAAGTCGGATACGAGTACCCGGGTAGTTTCATTTCTCAATTTAGTACCCGGGTACTCGTGTTCGACTTTTACGATGATGATCTACATTTTCTCTATAACGTAATATGTCGTAATGGGTACCGGGGTACTCGTGTTCGACTTTTACAATGATAATCTACAAATCATAATATGTCGTAATGTCTGTGATACAACACGTGTAAAAAAAAAAAACTATGTAAAAAACGTCAAAAAAATTAATTTCTCAATCTAGTACCCGATACTCGTGTTCGACTTTTACGATGATCTACAAATCAGATGAATTTTCTCTATAACGTAATATGTCGTAATGTCTGTGATACAAAACGTGTAAAAAAAAAAAAAAAAAAAAAAAAACCTATGTAAACACAAATCTTGGATTATTTAAACCGTTCCAAAAGAATTATTGGACTTTCTCACTTAGCACACTCTCCGTTCAACGTTTTATAAAATGGAAAAGTACTTCGATCAAGACCCAAAAGACTGGTCGTTTCCGGACTTCGCAAGTTACGTTTTAAACTCAAATGACTCAGAAGATTTTAACGCAAGAAACGCGAAAAAACTTTTTTATGACGCACTCTACAAAATTATAATGAATGAAGATTCACCTGTAGACCATACTCAATGTGCCAGAGAATTAATCAAATCTAAGCAAGTACATTGTTCAACAGACTATGTCGTAGACAAAGCTTTTAGACACGTGGGCAATGGTTTCTTAGCCGAACCAGCATCTTTGATAGTCTGTTATTTTTTACCGTACTAGTTTTTCTTATGTAATTGTAGTAGAACTCTATTACTTTACCGTATAAGTTTCCTTGTGTAATTGTAGCAGAATCAGGATCTTTGATAACTCTGTTATTTTTTACCGTACAAGTTTTCTTATGTAATTGTAGCAGAACTAAACTCTATTACTTTACCGTATAAGTTTACTTGTGTAATTGTAGCAGAATCAGGATCTGGTTAACTCTACTACCTTTTTTTACCGTAGTTGTTCTTCGGCTATTTAACTGTTTTAAGAAGTGAAGATTTTTTTTGTTTGTTAAGTCTACTGATTCTACAAGAGGAATTGGTTGTTTCTTGATAATCAAAAAAATTTTTGCTTCTTTAGGGATCGTCTAAAGCATTAGATTATCTTAACGTACTTTAGTAACAACGTTTTTTTTTTTTCACAAGGACGATATAAAATTGACAAATATGCTGTGGAAAAACAAACAAATCCTCAAGAAAATTCATGTTCCACAGAAGAAATCAAAAAAACACAAGTCAACGGATAAGTCGGAACCAAGTAAAAAACGAAAAAAAATCTGATAAGACCGTGAAATCTGATAAGTCCGGTAATTCGAAATCCAATATTCCTGATAATGCGAAGAAAACCGTCGAAACCCCATCTGAATTGGATTTGAGAGTAAGTATTGTAAATTACTTAATTTTTTAAATTTAAGAATTTAATTATTTAATTTGAGAATACTTATATTGCGATAGGAAAGGATCCTCGATTTAAAGGAACGGGAAATTTCTTTGAGAGAGCGTGAAGTCAAAATACGGGAATTAGAAATTAAGCGTTCCAAGAAATAGCTTTTTTTAGATTTAGAGTTTCTAAAAACATAGGTTTAATATTTTTTTAAATCTTTGTTACATTTTTCTTGCATATATTTTTTCTTCACTTGTATATGAATGTTTAAATTAGTGAAAGAATTACATAATATAATAAAGCATATTGATCACACTTTATAATAAATTTGACATTACGGAGAAAGATCATAGTGAAACCTAGCACAAAATATAGGTATCGTAAATATTACTGCGATCGATCGTCGAATGTGAACATGTATACTATGTGATATGAAAGATCGACAATTCGCACGATGTACGTACCGTATAAGGGGATTTACTTATTTGTGCGAGTGATACAAACCCAAAAAAGGAAATTCAACGTAAAAATAAACTAAGTTCGTGAAAA